TCTCTGTCTCTCTCTCTCTCTCTCTCTCTCTCTCTCTTCTTAATCTCTATTTTCCTCTCTGTCACATTTACGTGTATAATTATCATTCTGACTGACACGTGTGTTTTACGACATTTCCTCTAACGTAGAATGTTTGTATTCTAAAGCCCAATGCCTTTTTGAGTTACACACAACTAGATCTACAGTGTGGTCAAAAATTCGTTGCCCAACTTATCCTCAAATGTATCTCTTTAATAATAGGTGTGTCAATGTCACCCATACTTTGCACAGCAGTTTGTATCAATATATTAGTTTTTTCAAAATAATTGCGGCTAGACTTTTTAAAACTTTTCTTCATAAATTTATATAAATTACAATATAAAACACTTCCACGCGGAAAATGGGATTGTCCACATCACTTCCCGTTTCTGAAACACATTTATTTGTAATATTATGGCCTACGTCACAGCTCACCAATGACACTTTTTAGCTGCAAAACTAGTAACACGAAACTAATTTTAGAGTGAACACTTCTTTTGTGCGAAAGGTTATCAAAAAGGTTCAATAAGCATAATTATATGGATGACACTTTTTAATGGCAAAACTTGTTACAAGAAATTGATTTTGTAGCGAACACTTGTTTGCACTGAGGGTTCTCAAAACATGCGTTCAGTAAGCATAATGTCGTGATTAGAAAAACAGGACGGACTTGCTTTTGAAAGCGATATTGCCCAGCCATAAAGCTTTTAAAATCTGTAGAAACCACCCGCTTTGATTTTTTTTTATTAGTGTTTATTAAAGAATTTTCTAGAATACAGTTAGCAGATGTTTACAAAAATATTGATCTGTTAAGACAAATTGATACAAGTCATTGTGCAAAAGCTGGAGGGTCGATCTTTGATCATGTCGGAAATATGTGACAGTAAATTGCGCCACGAATTTTTGACCGCACTATAGGTACAAACCTCTTATAATCTGTAGAAACCACCCACTTGGATTTTCTATTAGTATTTATTGATGGATTTTCTAGAATACAGCTAAAGGGTGTTTATAAAAATATCGATCTATTAAGACAAATTGACACAAGTCATTTTGCAAAAGTTGGATACTTTATGTTCAATAGTTGAGGTAATATTTGACACCAAGTTGCGCCACGAATTTTTGACCGCACTATAAATTATGTTTACTATGGTCTTCTTTTTCAACGTGTTGGCCAACAGGACACTTTTCAGCTTTTGCTTTACGATTATCTGATATGAATTACACGTAAGACCTAATATTGCTCTAACTGTGGAGACACTACCATTAACACATGAATCATTACAATAAGAGGGATGTGGAGCATTAAGGGCGTTTAGGATCAAAGAAATTCACAAAATGTGAAAGTGTCAGTTTGAAACAAGAGATATCCGAAGTACAAGCGCCATTTCAGTTTACACGATATCAGTCGATTTATACTCTCTCTCTCTCTCTCTCTCTCTCTCTCTCTCTCTCTCTCTCTCTCTCTC